TTTACGACATATATCTGATGTAAATATCCAAAAAGAGCATTGTTTCTTATTTTGTTTATGTTGGTTATTTTTCAGCAATAGATATCAACCTCCAGAACATACCAGTTCTTTGCTGTTGCAGTTTGACGAAAGACCTGCAAAAGATGAAGATGAAGATGAAGATGAAGATGATGAGAAAGGGAAATCAATGTTTCCTGAAGGAAATATTTTACCTGATCGTAGAGAATGTCCTGTAATAAGACCTTGTTGTTGTAATTCTAGAGTATTTCCTAGAATAAAACCTTCGTGGGTACCACGTACAGGATTTCCTAGAGAAAGACCTTGTTGTTGTAATTCTAGAGTATTTCCTAGAATAAAACCTTCGTGGGTACCACGTACAGGATTTCCTAGAGAAAGACCTTGTTGTTGTGATCCTGAACTATGTCGTAGAGAAAACACATTACGTGGTCGTCCAAAAGTCAACAGGTCAAAAAAACCTGACGAGATGGAGGTTTGGTATTAAAGTGTCTTTTATTCACCTTTTGCTCAATTTACTTCTAGATATTTTGATATTACATTTATACTATAACAAAGTCTTTATGCAATAAAGAAGACGTATTACAGAAATATTGTCGAATTTATATTTTTTACCCGTAAAATGATTTTTTAATGATTTGTATCATATTTTTTTCTCATATCTCGGTGTTTTACAATTTTCTATAAAACAATTATATGACCTTTTATTACTTTTTTTTAATAGAAATGTTTACTACTTATATAAAATTTAAAAATCGTTATACTTATTCACAAAACTTCTTAAATTATATTGCTGTACTATGTATCTAAAAACATAAAAAAATACAAGTATAAGTATAAATCAATCTTCCGTATCTTGGTTTATAAACATTTTTTATTATGGATAAAACTTACAAATTGTATCATCCTTNAGACGTCAAGCATAAATTACTACTTCTCACTGCTTGCACTTTCCCAACTTTAAGCAGCAGGTGGTAGCCACGGTGTACCGTTCACTTTTCCACAGGCTGAAGAAATGATAATCATAATGGAATTACACAGCGATCTTTTTTAACGTAATATACCGCAAAATGTTTAGATACATGATTACTAGATACTGATTAAAATAGAAATATGTACACGGAAAATAATTACGTATATTTGGTATATTAGAAAATAAATTATCACAACAGTCTGCCTGCGCAGCCCAGTCGCCGCTGGTTTAGGGTAATGATGCAGTACCTACCTGACGGTCGATTCTATATCCATACAATGTAGTGAAAATTACAAAAGTGAGCAAATTTACTAGTTGACCAATAAGATCGTAGATATTTTAATAAATTCGCTCACTTTTGTAATTTTCATTACACTGCGTGATACAGAATCAACCCTTTGGTGTAGGAATAGCGGTAGCCGCTGTCGGTGCGACGTCGTCAGCCCAGTTGTCGGTCGTCACGGTCGAGTCGACTCGACCTCAGCCGGGATCCGGAGCAGGAGCAGTTTCGGACCACCGGACCAGTGAATTCTTTCGCCGGTGCAATCTTCTTCGCAGCCTCTTCTTTTTCCGCCTTAAAAATAAAAGTCTCGCGCTGATTTATCGTCGCTCGCAAGAGCACAAAAAGAATGGCAAAAAACTTTTATTTTCTTATCAGAAAAGATTAGAAAGCCTTAAAAATCCAACATTACTGTTTCTGGATCTCATCATTGCAGCGTACAAAAACTTGAAAAGAGAGAATCACGAAAAAAAGCAAAAGACAACATAATGACGAGAAAACTCCCGGTAAAAAATGTTCCATGTATAAAATTGTATGGACATATTCGGCATATAAATTTGCATAATTAGATATAATTTATTTAATTTGTGTATAAGTATATATGATTATATATCAAAACTTGTTTAAAAATATAGTAAAAATTAGTTTTATATAATTATTTTGTATCTAACATGATACTAATAGAGTTATTTTGTAATTTGATATAAAATATCTCTGAAGCCATTTTCTTAAAAAAAGAAATTCTCCTTGTATAAAATTGTATGGACATATTCGGCATATA